GTATTTATCTGATATAATATTTTTCTTTTGACTTTATTTGTCTTTAGGTGCTGATGAGCAATACAAGAGAGTGTGTGATCATAATGAAGATTTAAAAACCCTCAAAAACCCATACACTGACACATCTCAGTTAAGAATCACTAACATGGTGTACAAGGCTGTTTATGCAATAGCTCATGCCATTCACAATGCAGTGTGTCAGAAAACAAAATTCTCATCTCAGTGTGACAAGAACATTAGACCTGATTCAAAACAGGTCAGTCAAAATGTCAATTTTTGATTTTTTGTTAGCCAGGGTTTTCTTTAAAATTCATCTCTTTCTTTCAGGTTTTGTCTGAACTAAGTAAAGTCAACTTCTCCCAAAATGGTTATCCTGTATCATTTGATGCTAATGGGGATCCWGTGGCTTTTTATGAGTTGGTCAACTGGCAGAGGAGTGAGAGTGGAGATATTGAGCTGGTWACAGTAGGATACTATGATGCATCACTGCCTAAAGGCCAGGAGTTTCATATCAACAGGGAAATAACCTGGATGGAGGGTAGAACAGAGGTTAAAAACCTACGACAGTTTTGCAAATAAACATTTATTGAACTGCAARATACCCGCTCACAAAAATCACTTGATCCACAAAAACTCAAAACATAAATTTTATCAATTTTGGTTGGCTCTTTGTGTGACAGGTTCCAGTGTCAGTGTGCTCTGAGAGTTGTCCTCCAGGAACYCGYAAAGTGTTGCAGAAAGGAAAACCCATCTGCTGCTATGATTGTATACCATGTCCTGAAGGAGAGATCAGTAATATAACAGGTAACAATAAATATTTTATTTGAACTTCAAACAACCAAATACATCAATTACTTCTTTCAGTCATGGTTTGGGCCATGAGTCCTATCTTCAGTAATGGGCTGAACACAGAAAAAATACCAAGGCCTTTTGGAAAATATTTTGCTACTATTGTTGTTTTAACACTTTGGGGATGGATCTTTCCTATTCCAACAGAAGTGTGTCTCAGTGTATATTGTGTTGAAATAAAGCATAAAGTTTTTAGGTTTGATGTGACATAACTTGACTGTTTCACACAGTGCCTTGACTTCAATCAAAGAAAGCACCTTAGCGATGAAGAAGAATATAAACTGTGGGCCCGATTTTCCGACATCCATGGCTGAACATATAAATACTTACTTGATTGTGTATGTCACCATTGGGATATTTATGAGTAAGAAYAAACACTTTGATTTACTTTTTAGATTCTCCTGATTGCTTCCCATGTCCCAAGGAATTCTGGCCTAACCCAAAAAACGATGTTTGTTTCCCAAAGCCTGTGGAGTTTCTGTGTTTTGATGACATTCTGGCAATCATCCTGGCTTCTTTTTCTGTTTTTGGAGCCTGTCTGACCATCATAACAGCAGTTATTTTTTTTCATCACAGAACAACTCCAATTGTCAGAGCCAACAACTCTGAGC